CCTACTAAGCACCAGACAGTAGTTTAGGGTGTAGGGTTCAACGGCTTAGGTTTGAAGGCAACATGCGAGGGTGCTGGAAAAGTTTCTGACTTGGTGGCATGCCTTGAACTCTTCCACCGCACCTCCCCATCTCAACCACATCCCAGGAACTCCGAAAAACTGCATTCGGCCCCTTTCGCCCCTAAACCCACGGTAATTCCCCTATAGGTTTACGGTCCGTTCTGCCCTAAACCCTAAACCCTTTTAAACCCTAAACCCTAAACCCTCAACCCTAAACCATAAGCCCTTAACCCCGAAAGGCCAAGGGGCACGAACCACAGCGCAGCCATTTCGGCCTGGGACTTCATGTTCTCCTCCCAGCCAAAGGAGCTTGGGTTAAGGGCTTGGGGTTCCCTTGAAGGGTTTAGGGTTTGGGTGTTCCTTTAAGGATTTAGAGTTTAGGGCTCAGGGTTCTTTTGTTTCAAGGGGTTTAGGGTTTGTGGATGACTTGCAGTGTCAATGCTGGGACTAGGAAGGTTCGCGTGGCGCGAAGTCTGGGCTGTCGGGCGCCACGTGCCTGTTACATCGCGCAGATGAAGTCCTATGCAAGAATACGGTGTAGTGTAGCATGATAAAGACAAGATTGCATCCAACATCATCTGCTATAGAATAACAGTGCACAAAAAATTGGTCCAGTATGGTGACGTAAGAGACTACAACAGATAACACAATATGGGCCTGTATCAACACGGTAAAATGATATAACATCATTCAGTAAAACATCAGGATACAAATCCAAGTGACTAGACATCACATGCTAGAGCGCAAAACGGCATCGCATAAACGGACATAGCAGCATGCAATGCATTTAAGGTGACATGACGTCATGCGGTGTGATGTACCCATAAATATAAGCCACAAAACGGAACTGCTATGGAACCCGTATACACTACACCACGAGTACCTTTCTCATCCATCCTCTCGCTCCCCTGCCCTCGGCCGCCAAACCGTCCTTGTCCCCCTGCATCAAGGCCGACAGTGCATCAACCAGAACAAAGGCACCCATCAGCGGGAAGCAAGCGCCACTCACCTGAGCCATTATGGTCTAAGATTTACTTCAAGCTGCCAAAAATCATGTTCGTAAGGTCCGTATGAAGTCTATACATGTATAAGAACAACCTACAACAAGCAGATGTTGGTAGCTTCTACCCCCGAATATGACTCCTCATGAACCTCCAAGCTGGGGCAGAGGAGGGGCATCGCATCTTTATTATGGGATACACTTGGAGGCCCAGGGGACTTTGTAGGTAGGTTATAAAGCAGAGTTATAAGTACCCTAACTGGAGTCACCCCAATTATAACCCTACTTATAACTGACTTACTAAGTCCCCTGGGCCTCCAAGTAAACCTTAAACCCTAAACCCCCAAACCCCTAAACCCTAAACCCTAAACCCCAAACCCTGAACCCTAAACCAAAACAGGAGCACATCGAAACCAAACTACCGATGAAACTAAGCTCTGGGCCAATGCTGCCAACAGCCCCGGCACGAAGCAGCACCAGTAAGGCTTGGAGAAGCCTTGACTTCACAAAGGCGTTCTCAAACTTGTCGTTTTAGGGTTTAGGGTCTAGGGTTAAAGGGTTTAGGCTCTAGGTTTTAGGGTTTAGGGTCTAGGGCTTAGGGTTTAGGGTCTAGGGTCTAGGGTCTAGGGTATAGGCTCCAGGGTTGAGGGTTTAGGGTTTAGGGTCTAGGGTATAGGCTCTAGGGTTTAGGCTCCAGGGTTGAGGGTTTATTTAGGGTTGAGGGTCTAGGGTTTAGGGTTTAGGGGTCTAGGGTTTAGGGTTTAGGGGTTTAGGCTTTAGGGTGGGTGCCTGAACCAGGTACCGTGAGCAAGGGGGCTCTGATTTCGAAGTGAGCCGGCTGAAGTTAGTGACTGAAAACCCCATTTCCTCACCCAGAGAGCCCAACACCCCCTGATTAAGGCATATTCCGAAGATCATAATATTAAGCCCCTTTAAGTTGAAGGCATATTGCTTAATTGAAGAATATAATGCCGTATATCATGATGTGAAGCCGCCTATAGTTTCAGGTATATTGATTAATTAAGGGGCAGTGGGCTCTCTACTAGACAACCGGAACCCTGTGGTGCTTGTATGAAGTGGGCCCCTAGCCCCAATGTTGTTGCACCTACGTCACATCAACACCCACATGTTTTAAGAACCAGAAACTTGAAAATTGTACTAAATGTCGACAAAAAACACGTCCTGTACCCAAAAAACCGACAAAAAAAAAACAAACTCCTGAAAACCCTTAACCCAAAAAACCCTAAACTCCTGAAACAGAGATCTGCTTTCCGAGGCCCTCGCTGAGCAAGCGCAGCGTGGGAACCTCTGCCGGCAAGGCTTTGCCAAAAACAGGCCGCTTTAAGGTTTAGGAGTTTAGGGTTTAGAGTTTAGGGGTTTAGGGGTTCGGGCTTTGGGGGTTTAGGGTTTTGGGGATTTGGGGTTTTGGGGTTTAAGGTTTTGGGTGTTTAGGGTTTAGGGTTTAAGGTTCAGGGTTTTAGAGTTCAGGGTTTTGAGGGTTTTGGGTGTTTAGGGTTTAGGATTTTGAGGGTTTTGGGGGTTCAGGGGTTACGGTTTAGGATTTTGGGGGTTTAGGGTTTTGAGGGGTTTAGAGGGTTTTGGGGGTTTTGGGTTTTGGCGTTAGCGGTTGGTTAGCGGTTTAGAGTTTAAGGTTTAGGGGTTATGGTTTTGTTTGGTTCGTGCTCCCCGGTGTTTAGGGTTTACGGTGGTGCATCTTCAGGATGTATCCCCATTTTTGACACAACTGAGCCACGACCCCAAGGTTTGGTTTACAAAGACCCGAAACGCTACACCCGAAACGCAAAGCTTTAAAGAACTGATTCCCCTCAACAACCCTAAAGTCTGGACCTACGGTTTCTGATGTAAATCCTGCATTACCCATAATAGGGAATTACCATAATTCCTGTAGTTTAGGATCCTTAAAGTAAGGCATCACTTGTATCATGAACACTAGAGGCCACAGACCTTAAGCCTAGGCCCTAAAAAAGGGACTCCCCTCATGAGACCTTGTAGCTCTTGGCGATGCGCTTCTGACGCTCGGCCTCCTTGTCTTCTGGGTCCTTCAAGGGCTTCCTAAACCCTAAACCCAAACCCCTAAATCCTAAACCCTAAACCCTAACCTAAACCCTAAACCCGTTTTCGGTGCCTCTCTGGGCTTTTGGGTCTAGCAGCGGCGTTCATAGCGGGGGCAGCTCCAGGTCTACCGCTCGTGACTGGAGACGCCAATGAATCACAAGTGCCCATGTTTAGGGTTTAGGGGTTTAGCGGTTTAGCGGTTTCGGGTTTAGGGTTAAGGGTTTAGGGTTTAGGGTTCCGCTCTAGGCACGACTGCTGAAGAACTTTCAATACACCACATGCTAGTCAGTAAAAGTCTGAGCGCTTGATATGTGCTGTGAACATGAGTGAACCCTCATAGAACCCTTGTAGATGCCTGTATAGACCCCAACCCAGACTGAGCTAGCTCCCACGCTGCGCCTCCGCCGGCTTGTTCGCTGTTCTGGACGGCTTCGGCCTGGGTTCCGTTGGAGGCTAAGTCATGTCCTGGGCTCCAAGTTATCTACCTCTGGCATACATACCTGTTGAGTACGAGCATGCATTACCGGACAGATGCTTGGCATCAACCATATTCCACAGCCTTTCACCTACTAAGTGTGCTATCCTTGTGCCCTAAACCCTAAACGCAAAACCCTAAACCCTAAACCCTACAAGCTCTCCCTCTCTGCCGCTGTATCCACAGAGTCTAGCAACTCCAGGGCTGATGCAAGACAATTTTGCATGTCAACTTGCGTCCCCAGAGGCCCAATGCCCGCAATCAAGGAATATACCTTAAACTATAAGGGGCTGCATAGTCTAAGCTGAGCTATATTCTTTAATTAAGGGGTGTTGGGCTCTGTGGGTCAGCACGTTGCTACATCACCAAGCTGTTCAAGATAAACTTGTGGCCACTGCCTTGAGTTGCGTGTCTCTGCATAGACATACGACGCACCATTGCATGTCGAACTTTCACTAGCTTGCGGCACCGCACTGGTTTGCCGCCGGGTGTGGCATCGGACTCAGCTACTGCATGATGGTTCATGATGCTATCGAGCTTGCTCCAGTATCACATCTTGCCCATTTGCTTTGTCACGTCTGTGTGCCTTTGTCACGCTTTCTCTTCATTGCCACGCTTACAAAGCAAAATTTACTTTTGGCTTCGCAGGTCCGAACTCGGATATTCTCTCTCTCTCTCTCTCTCTCTCTCTCTGGCTGGAACCCTAATTACAACCCTAATCAAAACCTAAGCCCCAATTCAACCCTACACCTTAAACCCCATTCACTTCCAGGTAGTTCGTTACACGTACCTTGAAGTTGGCTGCGCACGTTGCCGCATTCAAGCACACATTCGCTGCGTCTGCGTTTGCATGGGCACTCGTGTCCGTGTACTGCATGACTGCGCCCCTATTATGTATGTATGTCAGTATGTATGTATGCATGTGGACATATATATATATATATGTACATTTATATATATATATATATATATATATATATATATATTATATTTTTTACTTATTTATATATGTGTAAGGGTCTAAAAAGCGCAACGCTTGCGAACTTCTGTAGGCTGTCTGTGCATGTGTGCGTGTATACACACGAAGGAGCACAACGCGGTAATTAGGAGGCAAGCGACGTGATCTTTGGCACTTCACCCTGGCAGCCAAAAATCTCATCCCAGAATCCTAGCCTAGCCTTCCGTACTCTTTAAGCAGCATCTTCCTGCGAGGAGTCCTGCTATGATCCTTGCTAGGGGACGGGGGGGTTGTTGAACAGGATTCTACATTACCCGTCTTGTAGACTCTACACTACCTCAGACCCCAAACCTTAAGCAAAGGACCCTGACTATGCCTGCAGATTCCTGCAGAAGCCCACATCAGCCGGCTGTGCTCGAAGATCCTACAAACCTTTGTCCACGTACCCTCAACCTTAAACCCTAAAACCCTCCGAATTTAAGGTTCTGTTGAAGGGTCTCTGGTTAAGGTTCGGAGTCGGTCTGGACAGAGACTTGACGCGTTCGAGTTGCACCTCCCCCACTTATAAGTATCCGAGTAGGGATCCTACTTGGGGCTGTGATACTTATAATTCTATAATCTAACTACTTACCAAGTCCCACGACCCTCCAAGAAGGGCTTTAAACCTCTTCAAAGCTCTCCGAAAGCCCGAGCCCGAACACGCCCACACAGCCCCATAAATCCCATAAATGATGTCCGGCCCTAATAGTTTCGGAATAGGCCTCCTTTAGGTGTTTCTATTCGGTGTCTACCGGGCTTCCCTAACAAGCTTTAGGGGGCCTTGATAACATAGAGACTAGTCACTAGAATAAGGGCTTTGCGGTAAGTAAACTGTCGTTAGAAAGGGACTGTCGGGGAGGACTCTTACGAAAACGTGTGTACCCTGCCCTGCGCCTCGTCGGCGTTTGGGGCCAGCTCACCGGTGATCTGAGAAAAGGGAAGGCTTAGGGCTTACTGTAGGGTTTACATCTCTTCAAGATGCATCCAGGCAGGGCGAAGCACCGAAGCCCTCTGTTTACCAACATCAGAACGCAGCTCCAGTGTCTATCCGCCACCTTGCGGGCCAGGACGGCGCCTTGGGCAGCCGCCAGCGCTTGGTAGATGCCGCCTTCCTGTTTGTGACCCAGACACTCCAGAAAGCAATCGACGTCTGAATCTTACAGCTTGAGACCACTTCTGTCGTTACAGGGGCCGTCCTGGGCCGTCAGCTCTTTGTGGCTTCCGCACTCAGCGACCTAGGCGGCTCGGGAACGAAAGGCTCCCGGTTCTATGCAACCTTGGTGCCATCGGTTTAGGGCCCAGGGTTTAGGGTTTAGGGTTTACGGTTTAGGGTTTAGGGTTTAGGGGGTTTACGGTTTAGGGTTTACGGTTTAGGGTTTAGGGTTTAGGGTTTAGGGTTTAGGGATTAGGGATTAGGGTTTAGGGTTTAGGGTTTATGGATTAGGGTTTTTTTGGGTTTAGGGTTCGAACCTTCGCGGGTTCTTGTCAGACTAGGCCTGGCCCACTCAGGCGATCAGCCGGGGACAGGATTCGGAGGAGCTTACTTGGAGGCCCAGGGGACTTAGTAAGTAGGTTATAAGTAGAGTTATAAGTACCCTAACTGGAGTTACCCCAAGTATAACCTTACTTATAACCGACTTACTAAGTCCGCTGGGCCTTCAAGTAGGCCGATTGTAAGGCTTAGGGTTCGGGGTTGTGGCTTGGAGACCCGAAGTGGAGGACGAGGAGTTCACGCAAAGCCTCAGAGGTTCCGTAAGGGCCTAGGTTTTATGGTTTAGGGTTTAGGTTTTAGAATTTAAGTTTTAGGTCTTAGCTTTTGGGGTTTAGGGCTTAGGTTTTAGAGTTTCGGGTTTAGGGTTTCGGTTTTAGGGCTTAGGTTTAGGGCTCAGGGTTCAGATCTTAGGGGTTTAGGGCTTCAGTCAGAGCTCCTCGCCAGGGAGCCACTCCCTGCTCGAGGACGTAGATGAGATCCGAATTCTGCACCTCGGCCACTCTGAAAATCCCCTCAACCCTAAACCCTAAACCCTAAACCCTAAACCCTCAAGCCCAGGATAAATAGAAATTGTTTGATCTAGTGTGCATGGCCCTGTAGATTTTGTTTGGCTTTCAATGTTTGACGAACAAACTGCAAGCACAGAAACGAAAGTTGTAGAAACAAAGGTGTTTCCGCGGTGCTTCAACTCGTTCCGGCAATCTGTCTCCGGGATTGGCATCCCAGGTGTTATTGCTTCCTGATTTGTGTTTCTGGGATCCAATTTCCGGAGCTGTGTTTCCAGAGTCGAGTTTTCCGGACTTGTGTTTCCGGAATCGAGTTTCCAGAATTGTGTTTCCGCAGACCAATATTGAACAAAAAGCAAAAGGAAAAACCCGGTCAAAACCGCACAAAACCCGGTCAAAACCCGCCCAAAACTCAGGACCTGAACCCTAAACAATTTCTATAAGCTCAACACCCTCAAGTAGAGGCCTTCATAGGTAGAATCCTGTTTAGGGGTTCCTTATGTTCTCAGCATAGTATACTATGCCCCCCAAACCCTATTCTAATTATTAAGGCCTCTATATTAAACCCCAAACAACCCTTTTGCATCCAGGCCTATTGCGACTGCAGGGTAGTTCTGAAGAAAGGAAAGTGAGGAGCAGGCAAATCTGCAGCACTACTGACTGCAACACCCTAAACCCAACCCGGATCATCAAACCTTGAGCCCTACCCCCGGCTTCCGCAGCAACCTTGCTATAAAGATGCCAAAAGAAGGCTCCGCATTGATAGAATCCGAGACATCCTTAAAGAAATAACCCTGCCTTCCAGAAATTCTCTGCAGCTCTGGAAAGAAAGCCTCAGTTTAGGGTTTAGGGTTAACCCTAAACCCTCAAACCTAACCCTAAACCCTGACCCTAAACCCTAAACCCTTAACCCTAAACCCTAAACCCCAAAACCGAAAGCATCCTACCAAACCCAAACTTTAAACCATGAGCTCAGGGCTTAGGTTTCCGCTGTCGGCTTGAAGGATCGGGAGTTCCGAATCACAGTCCCTCAACCCTTACTCCGCTCCGTCCCGGTTTAGGGTTTAGGGTTACCCCAAAAACCTTAGAGTGCCCCTAACCCAAAAGCCCTCAACTCCTAAACCCTAAACGCGAAACTTCTAAACCCTAAACTTCTAAACTGCTAAACCCTGAACTCCTAAACCCTGAAGTTCTGAACCCTAAACCCCCAAAACTCCTAAACCCTAAAGCCCAAACTTCCAAACCCTAAAACCCAAACTTCTAAACCCTAAAACCCAAACTTCTAAACCCCAGAACCCAAACTTCTAAACCCTAAAACCCAAACTTCTAAACCCTAAAACCCAAACTTCTAAACCCTAAACCCCAAACTTCTAAACCCTAAACCCCAAACTTCTAAACCCTAAACCCCAAACTTCTAAACCCTAAAACCCAAACTTCTAAATCCTAAAACCCAAACCCCAAACTTCTAAACCCTAAAACCCGAACTAGGAAACCCTAAACCCTCAAACAAAAACCTAAACACTAAACTAAAAAACCCTAAACCCTAAACCCTAAACCCTAAACTAAAAAAACAGACCCAGAAAGCCACAAGTCTGAGCCCGGCGCCGTGGTCAGCCGATGCGCGATGCTGACGATCGTCATGCTGCCCAGCCAGGAGCTCCTAGAGTTAGGGCTTGGGGTTTAGGGTTTAGGGTTTAGGGTCTAGGGTTTGGGGTTTGGGGTTTAGGGTTTAGGGTCTAGGGTTTAGGGTTGAGGGTCTAGGGTTTAGGGTGTACGGTTTAGGATGTAGGGGTTTAGGGGTTTAGGGTTTAGGAGTTTAGGAGTTTAGGTTTCGGGCCTACTTGGAGGTTCATGGGCAGTTATAAGTGGGGTTACAAGCCCCCTCATATGGGCTATAAGCATAGTTGCCCTACTTATAAACCCACTTATAACTACCCATGAACCTCCAAGTAGAGTTTGTGTCTGGGCGTGGAATTTAAGGTTTAAGGCTTAGAGTTTTAAGGTTTAGGGCCCTGAGCTTAAGGTCTAGGGTTTAGGGTTTTTGTTGACAACTTTTTCCAACTGCATAAAGTATGCGGTCAGAGAGCCTACAGGGGGCAGGCAGCTTACCCCTCCTCTCACTTCTTGACATACAGCATGGCTCTTCCGTCTCGCTCCACTAAGCCCCAACGGCACCGACGGCATGTGCATCCTTCACCATGCCCCTCATCATCATCTAAGGGTTTAGGATTCGCGGACTTGGGTTTGAGGTTTAGGATAAAACGTTTAGAGTTTAGGGCTTTCGCCTTCAGAAGGCATTTTCAAGGGAACAAGAAGGAGCTTGGGGTTCCGAAAAGCCAGGACTTGGGCGCCCGGAGCTTCTGGTGTGGCCCTCTTAGGAGACCATGAAGTTTAGGGTTTATGGTTGAGGGCTTAGGACCCAAAAGGATCCAAAAGGGGCCCGAAACCTGCATTGGATCCAAGGCACTTGCCCAAGTTGTCGATGGTTTGCTGGATTTGCTTCTCGCAGCTCGAGTCCAAGGCACTGGTGGCTTCGTCCTTCGCGAACATGCGTAGGGACTTAAAGGTGGCAGGACTGGCGAATGCTTCTTGAACCCTACACCCTCAACACCGAACCCATTGCCTAAGCCCTAGACCCCGAACCCTAAGCCCTATAACTAACCCTAAGCTCTGAACACTAAACACTTTTTAACCCATGCTCTTCATGTTCGCTAAACGTGCGACCAAACCCTAAGCCACAGGCCGCACACCCAAGAAGAATCGTTTAGGGTCAAGGGCTTAGGCCCTTTTTCAGCACGGACTGAGGTAAGCCCTTTTGCAGCATGGGCTTGGATTGTGTGCCAGCGAACACACCTCAAGAGCAGGTAAGCCCTAAACCCTAAACCCTAAACCCTAAATCCATCCAAGTCACCAAAAACATAGGCCCTAAACCCTAAACCCTAAACCCTAAATCCATCCAAGTCACCAAAAACATGATCGACGGCTTCTTCAGCAGTGCCCGGGCGATGGCGATGCGCTGCTTCTGACCCCCCGAGAACTGGGACCTGCCGGCTCTTTGCTACAGGTGTTGACAATTTAGGGTTTAGGGTTTAGGGTTTAGGGTTTAGGGTTTAGAGTTTTGGGGTTCCCTAAACCCTAAACCCTAAGCCCTAAACCCTCAATCTTTTTTACTAGGGAATGCCTTCAGGGTTTAGGGCTTAAAGGCTTTAGGGCTCACGGTTTAGGGTTTACGCTTTTGGGCTCAGGATGTAGAGTCTACGCGTTTCGGCTTGGGTTCAGGGTTTAGGGAGCCAGGCCATGCTGAAGTTCTAGCCTGTAACCATCACACGATGAAGAGTTCAGCAGCTTGAAGATGTAAGGTTTATAAGGTAGGGGCCTTAACAACCCCAAACCTACTTTTTTGTAGGGTCCCTATAAATCCCATATTAGGGTTTATAATAAGAACCTACAAAAAAATGGGTTTTGGGTTCTTAAGGTAGGGGTCTGAATAATTAGAAAAGGGTTCTGGGGGTTCCTTCTTATCCTATTCTAAGTATCAAGGCCCCCAAGTTAATGCACATCTGCTGAGATGTCTCTTGCAACATGCCACAGTTCCCTCTGCAACGAGGCGCTGCTAACCGGCAAGAAAACAGCCGCTCCAAGAGAAGAGCTTCGCTTTTTAGGATATGGGTTTAGGGTTTAGGGCTTCGGGCTTCGGGTTTAGGAAGGTTTAGGTTTCAAAAAAATCACATGGGGCCCGAAGAAATATAGAGACCCCAGAATCCCCCGAAAAAAAGTACTTCAGTTCTCTGAAGCCTCACCTGTCAAATCCTGAACCCAAATCCCCCGAATTGAGAAGTATAACATATGTTACAAGGGACTTCACACTGTTGATGATATAAATCCTGCATTACCTTAAGGACCCTGAACTATGGGAATTGTGGCATATTCCTGATTATGGGTAGTGCAGGATTTAGATTATCAACCCTACCCTAAACTCTAAACCCTAAACCCTAAACCCTAAACCCTAAACCCTACACCCTAAAACCTAAACCCTAAACCCTAAACCCTATACTCCATCCTTCGGGAGTCTAGGGCTCTCCCTCGGTTCGTCTCAACTCAGAGACCCACCCTCCGGAGCCCACGTAGGTGTCGAACTGCTCGGGAAGTGCCTGCGCCAGAACTTGGGGAAGGGAGGCATTTGTACATTCTAGTGAATTATAGTCTGGTATATGGTCGTCTAGTATATGGTAGTATATACTATAAAAAATACCTTGTTTCATTAAAGCCCACGACGAAGGAGTGCCGGGCTGCGAGAAGAGAGGGTTTTTGGCTTTGGTTTACGGGTTTTGAGGCTTTGGGGTTTGCGGGCTTAGAGCCAAATACCCCGTAATTAAGGAATACACCTTAATCATAATATTGGACCCCTTATAGTTCAAGGTATATCGCTTAATTAAAGGGTAGTGGGCTCTCTGCGAGGATTTGGGTCTCAAAGATCGCGGCTAAGATCCGCGTGCCTTCTTCGGTCAAAGGAGCTTTGGGGCAGAGCAGTCTATGCTGAGAACACTTCTAAGGAAGAGCTAGGATAGTATAGTATAGTAGAGTAGAGTAGAGTATAGTATAGTATATCATATAATTTGTGTGGTATATTATGGTAGAATATAGCATAGTATAGTATAGCATCGTACAGTATCTAAGGAAGAAGATCTACAATCATCAAGCTCGGTGCGTATCACCAGAGGTATTGCTCCATTATGGCTGGTAGAGCGCTTTGCACCGGTTCATTCATGTGACCCTAAACATGAAACCCCTTTTGCAGCAGACTTCTTTCGTCCTCCACAGCCGTCGCCGTGAATCAACGCAGCAGTCGTGATTGCGCAACCCCGCACGGCAAAACCCCTGAAGCCCCAAACCCTAAACGTGGGTTGTCGAAGAACCTATGCCCAAGCTTGCCCGGCGGACCAAGTAGAGTTCAGAGCAAGGAAGCTCCAAGCTTGATCTCGCTTATTGGAGTACGGATCTCATATCTTATAGCGTTATGAGGGTTTGGGCTTTAAGGGTCAAGGTGGAGGGTTTATGCGGGTTCTTTGCTGGCCTTACAGGTTTCGGGCTTTCCGGGCCGGAAGACTCCACGGCTCTCTTCAAAAATGCCTTCACGAAGTCCAGCTGGGCATTGTGTGCAGCTGCCTCGAAATCCTCTCAGAGGAAGCAAAACAGGAGTTCTAATAACTAGAAAAGGGTTTGGGCCGCAGTATATGCTAGTACTGTTTTGGGTACCCTACATCATAGTATGATAACATCATGTAACCCCAAAACCCCCATGACACACTAGTCCTCTAAAACAGGTAATGCCATCGTAACCCAAAGCCGCATTTAACACAAAATCCTAAACCGTAACCCTTGTGTACACAGGCTTGAGTGGAGCTCGCCC